ATTTATATTAATATCATTGCCAGTGTTATGGATACCTAAAGGGTCACACACTTAGGACTTGTAAGGGAGTAGTATACTACACTAGTGGGAGTAATATTAAATATATAGTTGTGATAATTTTATATATATATATATATATATATATATATATGTATTTCGAAAAATACATATGTATTTTAAAATTATATTTTGTTTGTGTCATTTTAATTATATGATAATTATATTTTGACAAAACAAATTTTATTATATATATATATGTAGCGCCGATATATATATATATTACTTTTATTTTCATCATTTTAATTATATGATAATTATTGATGTCAAAATAAAATATGATATATTGAAATGGCCGAAAATTTCAAGAGAAAGATACAAAACATATTTTGATTTTTTACCTAATGATATATTTGATTTATATAATCAAATATTTGATTAGTAAAGAATATTTGTCTTGTTGTGTTGGTTGGGGACATTACATTAATCCTAATTTGTTTTGTCCCTAAGCTATTTCCTAGAAATTCATTTAAGTTGTTTATTATAAAATGAAAATACAATCCCTCCCCTTTGAGCTTAATACATTCGCCCATCACAAATAAGAGAGAAGAAAAATTTTATTTTGTGTTCAAAAGTTATTTTTCTAAAGTGTTAGAAATATACACAAAATATTATAAACAAATATTTATAAGATAAATATTTTACTATATATTTATTACTCCCAAAGTAGTATTATTATAGTTTTTACTATACTATATTAAACTTGCTAGCACAAGTTTAATCTTGGACTCCGGAGCAAGTTCGTGTGGATACATTGGAGGCTTCATACGTTTGGCGCTACGTTCATCTCCTCAAAACCATCCCCGACCATTCCTCCATTCTCCGTTTTCACTGTTAAGGTAAATTTCTTACTATAGCTAGTGATTTACGTAAGTTGTTCTTGGGTGGAATCGAGTTTTGGACTATAAATTTTTGTTTTCGCTGCGTTATCCAAGCCTCGTTTCCCAACAGTTAGCCTTGGTTTGCTAAGCCTCATGTTTTGATGTTAACAAACAATATAAGAGCTTAATGTTTGTTTAAGTGTTTCAGGTAAAACAAGAATCCATTAAGATTCGGTACTCAAGAACGACGTTGAAACACTAAACTAGCGTAAAATATAGGTAGAAACCGATGTAAGGATATGACTTTATATACCAATATTCACAAGCTCAAAAGCACTCACAAAATATGTTTAAAACCATCCCATAAACATTTTCAAACATCTAAAAGGTTTTAAACTCAAACACGAAGGATTAAGGGAATTTTGGAAAAATAAGAACAGTGGCACGGTACCCCTAGCAGTACCCCAAATGGTAGGGTATACCGCCTACACGGTACCCCCATACCGTGTAACGGTACCTAGGTACCGGACGGTAGGCGTAGACGGTTGGCCTAACCCTTCCTAACCAGGTACCGCCAGAGCCGAATGGATTTTTGGTGTTACACGGTACCGAGGTACCGCCACTCACGATACCCCCCTACCGTACGCACGGTACCATGCTACCGTGTGGACGGTACCAACCTACCATGACCGTTGGGTTACTATTCCTGATTTGAGATTTTGAATTAAATCAACCCTAATCACCTCCTAACGGCTAATTAACATCTTCCACTATAAATATAAGCCCAATCCCTCATATTACTTCAAGAAACAAAGGTCTAAACATCCTCTCTTTATATTCTAAGTGTGTTCATTCTTTTCTTAATTATTTTAAATATTTTGGCTATTTTAAGAGCCTTAAATTCCTGATTTTTATACACACACTTTGAGCTTGTGTTTCTAGTTATATACTCTCATATTCATAAGTTTGAATTGTATTTTTGAGAGAGTATACTTTCTTTCTACACCGGCTAAGTTTTGTTCTTCATTTTTATATTCTAGCCGTTGTGTAGAATCCTCTTTTGTGTTTTTCAAACACACCTTCTTACGGTCGAGAATAGCCGTTAAATTCTCAAGTTGTAACGGTTAAAGATAGCCGTATAAATCCTTGGGTAAAGGTTCAAGGATAGCCTTTGAAATCCTTGGGGGAACAGTAGAAGATAGCCGTTAAATCTTCATTGTAAACGGTTCGAGATAGCCGTGGTGAAATCTCAGAGTGAATCCTATTGGAAAGGGTTGTTTGCCAAACTAGTACGGTGCTTTGACAGAGTTCAAGAGACCGAGACTTAGTGGATTCGGAAATCCTTGAGGAGGAGCCTCGAGGTACTGGAGTAGGGAGTTCCCGAACCAGTATAAATTCGGTGTGCATTTTATTTACGCTTTTATTTTTGCATTTTATATATTGCTTCCGCATTTGCCAACACCGTTTTTATTAAACTCCGAAAAGTTTTCAAACGCCTTATTCACCCCCCCTCTAAGGCGTGGGCACAATGACTAAAACGACTAACACATCCAAATTTATTTTTCTTAAATCTCTCGATGGTGGGAATGTTATTTTTGGAGACAACAACAAAGGAAAGATTATCCGAACTAGAACTGTTGGCAAAGACAAAGAATCCGGAATTGATAACGTGTTGTTGGTCAAAGGTCTCAAGCACAATTTGCTTAGTATTAGTCAGTTATGTGACAAAGGTAATCGTGTTACTTTAACATCTAATCATTGTCTGGTTGAACGCCTTTGTGATAAGAAAATTATCCATACAGGCGATCGAATTAATCATATTTATATGATCAACCTAGATAGTACTTCTTCTGACTTTGCTCATTGTCTTATGACTAGAGAGGAAGAAATGTGGCTATGGCATAAAAGGATTGGTCATACCAATATGGAACTAATTAATAAATTAGTTTCAAAAGACCTAGTAATTGGTGTTCCTAAACTCAAATTCAAAAAGGGAATTTGTTATTCATGTCAAAAGGGTAAACAAGTAAAAACTTCTTTCAAATCAAAGAAAGTTGTTTCTACTTCTAGACCATTGCAGCTTTTGCACATTGATCTCTTTGGACCTTCTCGAACTATGAGTTTAGGTGGTAATTACTATGCCTTGGTTATTGTTGATGACTACTCTCGTTATACATGGACCTTATTTCTTTTTCACAAGAGTAATGCACCTTCATATTTTCGCAAATTCACTAAGAAGGTTCAAAATGAAAAAGGTTGTAGCATTGTGGGTGTGAGAAGTGATCATGGGGGAGAATTTGATCAAAGCGGGTTTGATACCTACTGTGATGAACTAGGCATTGCACATAATTTCTCAGCCCCAAGAACGCCTCAACAGAATGGCGTTGTTGAGCGGAAAAACCGGTCTCTCAAAGAGATGGCTAGAACCATGCTTAGTGAGGCTAACATAACCAAGTATTTTTGAGCGGATGCGGTAAGTACTAGTGCTTATATTCTCAATCGTGTGATTATAAGACCTACACTTAACGCTACTCTGTACGAGTTGTATAAAGGTAGAAAGCCTAATCTCTCGCATCTTCTCATTTTCGGTTGTAAATGTTTTGTTTTAAATAATGGTAAAGACAACTTAGGACCTTTTGATGCCAAGTCAGATGAAGCAATTTTTATAGAATACTCTTTGTCTAGTAAGGCTTTTAGAGTTTTCAACAAACGTACTTTAGTTGTTGAAGAATCTGTGTATGTTGTATTTGATGAGAATAATGCTCGCTTGTCGAGAAGGGTATCTTGTGATGATCTTGCAGGTTCCCTTGAGAAAATACATCTTGAAAAAGGTGAGTCTAGTAAAGCAAAATCTGAAATACAAGAAGAGGAAGTAAAGGAAAGTGAGAACAATAAAGATGAGCATGTAGCAAATGAGTTACCACCCGAATGGAGAACTTCAAGACAT